CCTATGTCCCTGGCAGGAAGTAGGTGACTGTGTTCAGCGCAGGGTCCTGTCTCTCTCCTGTGAGTGATGTCCCATCCCTGGACTTGGAGTTTCCAGAAAGCTTGGTCCAGGCTCAATCCAAGTTCATATTCTGAGTGTTCTAAAAAACATTCCCTCCTTGCAATGATGGGGTGTCAGTGCTGACATTGTAGCGGTGAGGATCATGAGGCAGTGACTGTGCATCTGCTACCCGAACGTCTGGCACAGTAGATACACTCTCCAGCAACAGCAGAGCTGGTTGGTGTATGAACTATGAGTCTAGGCTTGTTGAAGCAGAGGGTGGATTAGTATCCAGTGATATGCTGCATGCAGGGTCCTAATAACCATCCCGTCTAGGGTGCATTATGCATTGGGGTGCTAACCTCAAGGTCATCAGTTTGAATCCACCAGTTGCTTCTCGATGCTCAGGAGAAAGATATATCTTTCTGATTCCATAAGGATATACACATAGTGTAAGCCTGTGCTTACTGTCCTGTGAATATAGTCTAGGGGTTTATATAGCCTTGCTATCACGGAGAGTATTGTAAAGCCAATTATGGTAGACGTAGTTGTGTTAAAATGTAATACCTTATCCTTTGATCTGCCTTTGGTTCATTATAAAGTTGTTTTTGGTTTTAATATTTTCTGCTTTCCATTGGATTAAGGGTTTTCTCTGTTTTGTCTAGTCTTTGTTGGCTTTTGTTTGTTTGCTTCCTGTTTGTTGGGTTTTGTATAATTTCCTGAATAGGAAATTCAGGATAGGTGGTTCTATAGAGCATACAAGTGAATGGATAATTACCTATGGGCATGAGAGGTGAGGATGGAGGGAAATAGGGGTAAATAACCTAGAATACAAGAAGGAAATGTTTTGATATTGATGGTAGTGATGATTGCCCAACCCTTGCTCATATGATTCAATGATTAATTATATGATATGTGAAGTAAATGCCAATAAAGCTTTTAATTATGGGCTGTCTTGAAGCAAACATATCAATGTTTTCATATATATGCATCTACATTCAATCTATGTATTTATCTAATTTACAACCCTGGAAGCCTAAAGGGGCAGTTCTTCTGTGTCTTATGTGGTCACTGTGAGTCAAAATCCACTTGATGGCAGTGGTCTTAGGATGTAAAGCCCAGTTAAGACACAGTCCACTCTTCCCCATCCTCTTATTGCGTTTTGGGGTGGAGGGCCTTGATGAGGTCACCTAGGAAGGGCATTTACTGGTGGCCCTGATTGCTCATGGGAAATGTGGGTCACCACCCCTGAGGTGTGTCTCCACTTTTGCATGGACAGGGCTGCAGGAAGCAGACAGCACACAGGGCCCCAGGGCTCCCAACCCCACAGACCCAGGCTGAGCCTATATAGGGCCTGCTCTGAGCCCAGAGACACAAGCTCTCTTGTCTTCTTCTC